TTCAGCCTCTGCTCTTGTACTCTTAAAATGTGTACCATCATTTCAAAATGTGTACTGTCTTTTAAATTTTTGAAATTTAAATGTACTATCTTTTTGAATTTGCTAAAGCAAACAAAGTTTATGTACAAAGACAACTCTGTAGTACCTCCTAAGCCTAATCATAAAGTAAGAGAAACCAGAATACAAAGTATATTAAGACTCAAAAATTCCCAAAGGCTGAGAGAAAGATTATTAATGTTTTTGAGAAGGCTAGAAATACTGGGGGGAGAATTATTCAAAGTTCCGTAAGAAACCCTAGTCACATATTTTAAACCCACCACAGGGAGATTAGCAACAGCTCATCTGGGTGTGCACCAAGGCCTCAGGAGGCCTCCAGCCTCACAACTGCTACAATTTAAAGTTATCATTTAAAGTTCAATTCAACTCATTAGATCTCCCACGTCAATCAACTGTAATATTCATATCCAAATTCCTGATACTATCATTACAGTAAGATATTTCATATTCTGCCAACCTAATACAGCTGAGTAAAATACAAATTCTACTTGATTTTACCAAATACAAGAGTTGTTTTATGGAAACGGAGTAGTGCCACAGGCAACTATATATGGCAGGTAAACAGAGCACAGCTAATCAAAACAGAACCCATTTGCACACCAAAACTAATACCTTCCAGTTAACCTTGAAAGATTACTATCAAATCTTTAATGATTGCTATTTGATGGGATGTGTCAAGATTTCTTTTATTTATATTGCAATTTGATTAAAATAATTTAAAAGAGAATTACAGTAAAATTACAAATGATAGAAATTACACAATAAAAGACTGAGTTTCCAGAATGACTGCAATCATCACAACAAACCACTGATTTTTTTACTATCTGGTCTACTTGTTACATCTGATTTTACTGTTTGGTCATTTATTGTGAATCAATACACAGATGCTAAAAACAATTCAGGCAGACAACTCAATTTGGGTTTACGTGATTAACTTGCAGGAGCTGAGCTCCACCTACAGGCAAAAAAAGACTTATTCTTTACAAAGAAGCTTTAAAATAGGACTTTCCAAAAGACAAGCTTACAACTACTCCAAAACTTTCAATTAACCTTGATGGCACATTAGAATAACCTGTGGTACTTTTTATTTATTTTAATTTTTTAATTTTTTTGCATTTTGATTTTATGATAGCTTTTTTTTGTGTGCCCTTCCAAACGGAAGTGATTCACTGACTCTATGCAGTAAAGATGAATGCTTAGATGTGGCATTAGTAAGTTTTCTTTTTGTTGGCTTTTTGGTGTGATGGCACCAGTGGTTTCTGAGCAAGTATTTCCCATACTATTGGCTGGGAAATAAGCCTGAGAGATGAAAAGATTGGTGTTAAGAATGCTGGGTCCTGCTGACTTTCAGAAAGAAGACTGTCTGTACAGCTTCATCTCCTCAACCTCCTGCGATATGGCTTTTGCTCCCAGCACCTGGGGTACTTTTTGAAACTACTATGGTCCCATACCAAAAATTCTGATTGACTTGATCAGGTGAGGGGTCTGTTCTCAGGTAATTCAAATGTACAGAAAAGGTTGAGAGACACTATGTGCTACACACCTGAAACAAATATAAAATAATATTGACTGTCACCTATAATTAAAAAAAAAAAAGTCACGGGGATGTAAAGTACAGCATAGGGAATAGAGTCAATCATACTGCAAAAACTATGTATGTGTTGATGTGTAGAAGATTTGATGGGGTTATCGCTTTGTGAGGTATATAAATGTCTAATCATTCTTTTGTTTTGTACACCTGAAACTAATTTAAAAAAAATCCTTACCAGCACACATCTTTTAAAAACATTAGGAATGCTCAAACTTCATGCTTTTTTCTAGTTACTTTATTTCCACTATACTGACCCTTACCTTTTTTAAAGATTAAAACTAAGTTTAGTTGATATCAATGTCTTATCCCTGTTAGACTGAAAAAAAGACCTAAGGTGACACTAGAATTTTTAAAATCCACTTTTATGTTATTCTAAACCTCAGAAGAAATCAAGGGAGTGTATGTTTGGTGGGGAGTAGGGTTCTTAACTCTGGATGCACATTAGACTATCTGGACAACTTTTACAAAGTATTATCGCCCTAAATTGATGTATGTTCTTCGCAGTTAGAAAAGCGATTATTATGAGGAGATGGGGGGGAAGTAATCAGAATAGGGCAAAGAGGGAGACTTCTAGGTAAGGGCAATTTTCTGTTTCTTGATCTGCGTGATGGGCATATGGGTATATTTGGTTTGGAAAAATTCAGCAAGCTGTATACTTAGGCTACACAAGTATGCATTATGAAATATAGTTCATACAGATATATTCTGTAATACATTGTACTTCAATTAAAAGTTAAAAAGTAAAAAGGAGATGTGCCAGGCTTCACTGCAGACCAAACGATCCACATTCTGTGGGAGTGAGGCCCAGACATCAGTACTTTTTTAAACATTTCCCCAGTGAGTCTAATGTACAGTCGGGACTGAAATACATGAGTCACAAACGCATTCATTCACTTTTTTCATCCAGTCATTACACACGCTTTAATGACCAATTACTACATGCATACTATACTAGACACAGAGGATGCCAAAGTAAAGAAGATGGGGATAAACATCCAGTAGTCAAGCATACAGGCTTAGAGAAGGTGGGCAGGATAAGAAAGAGGGAGACTGAGGCATTTAGAAAAGGAAGGAGGCAAGGGATGAAAATCCTAAAGAAGTCGGAATGAGGATAATGAGAGGAAAGAAAGGAGAGAAGGTAAGAAGAGCTCTGGATTGTTTTCTCCTGAGCCCCTAAGTACGTTTCAGTGGAACAACTAATGCCATTGCTGAGAATATATTATTAGGAAAAAATTCTACTCTATGCAAATATGGTGCAAATTACATTGTTGAATACCATTCCCCAGCTTAAATAGTAAGTACTCAACAAACCTGCTTGTAGGTCTACGATCCAAAGTGATAAACAGCTTTAACAGATTCCAGATGTTTCTTGACCAATACAAGCAATATCAAAAATGTTCAGTAAGATTAGACTTTGCATGGCTCCTTGCCTAAAGGGCTGGTAGGCTACTCTAGTCCCTAATCCTTACAAGCTCAAATAAGAAAATGACGGAAGGATAATAAAGTACTTCAAGCACATCCAGATGAAAAGTTTGTATATAGCAAGAGCATTGATTTTTAAATAGATAATGATTTCACACTGACATCCTCTCCAGCTGGCAGTTATCCATTTTAATTTAACTTAGACTGAGCAGTAAATACAATTATTTAATTAATCCTTTTCACATTACCATTTTTTAAGACTCTTAGAGGTTTCCTGGTTTGGTTTGGTTTTTAACATAAAACTAACTTGAGATGTAAACTATAGTGAAGCTGGTATAACTGACCAAAAGCACTAATGATTTCCGGAATTTTCTGTACTTAAAATAAGTGGTCATGAGACAATCATGGAAATTTCTAAAAAAGGGTGAAAAACTGCATTTTCCATTAGAAATTCTGTACTTTCTTCTGACCTCATTTTTCTTTGATTTCTCTTCGTAGGTAGGAGAAATAGGACAAAGGAAAAGTGGCGAGCACTTACAAATGGACATTTGGTGTTTCCTCCAATTATGAAGGCAAAATTTTCCACATTAGCTTACTTTTGTTCTTAAATAAAATTCACCTTTGCTAATTTATAAGTTCTGTTAATTACAGGGTACATAAGTATTTGAAATTGTATTAAGGGCAACAAGATAGAATTAAGGACTTAAGGAAACATTAAACATAATAAATATTTGGTTTATTCATTAACATTCCAAATGTATTTTTGTCATATTATAAATGTAATCTTTAAAAATGCATAGTTCTTAAAAATCAGGAAACACATGTCTTGAATGAAAGAAAAAAAAGTATCCTTGGTTATATTCATGATTTGACTAAAAGTTACGGGGCTGCTAAGAGGCTGATCAACTGCATCTATGTAGAAGCATATACGTGATCACTAAAAATCTTCAGTCTATATGCCCTGAAGTTAATTTACTATATTAAATTATCCAACAGTAATTACTTGAGTGTCAGATGAATGGTGCTGTGGGAAAAAAAGATATTTAAGGCAACTTCTAAGTACGATTTCTGGATGCAAAAGATTATATCATCAGTGAAAATTTCTGGTACTAACTTTTCCGGTTTTATAAAGAAAAAAAAATGGAGGGAGCTAAGCAATGACAACATGGAAATATTTTTTATTTTAAAATTTTTCTATACGAGGTTGAGAAACATAACAAAAAAAGAATGTTTCTATGTAGCTACATCTATCTTATCCCCAAATATAGGCCATCCAAAGAAAACAAATACTATACTTTTAAAATCAATATTATTTAAAATGTATACCACAAAATTGTAATAAAATCACAAAGAAGAGTTTTTCAATTAAGTTGAATTTCAAAAGAATAAAATGTTGACTCATAAAATTCAACTATCCTCAGACATTTGCTGAAATTTCTTCTATAATATGACACCCTTGAGATTAGGAAGGTACATAGCGTAAGTCAGACTGGAAAAGATATTTTAAAATGTTTTCAGGCCCACATACTTCCTCAACCAGTTCTGACCTACTCACCTAACTCTGAAGCTACCTGTTTTGCTCTATACAATTACTCTCCTGCTCTCTTGGATATTAAACAAATATAGCCTTCCACATCTAGCGAATATATTGCCCGCCCCATACACAAAAATCTATAGAGGCTTTTAAAGAAGACATCAGAGAGAAATGAAGTCGAATTAGACTCATCAGATCACTGCTGTAATTACTTTAAAACTGGTCTATTTTCTTTTAGGCCTCCAAATGGGCTAATTGAGCACAACTGGTATATACACTAAACATTATAAAAATAGTATTTTAAAAAATAAGTCGAATACAGGACTCAATCTTAATTTAAAATAAAGTATAAAAAGACAAATACTCTGATACCTAGAAGCACAAGGACTGACTCACCTGCGGGTAACTGATTTCTTCTCCACTTCTCCCTCTCCAGTAGATTTGACATTTGCACTTGGGTCCTTTTTTAACTTTTTCGCAATTCTTTCTTTCATCAGGTTCTTCTCATCACCGTCGTCATGCTCTGCACTTTCAAATTCTCCATCCTGTAGACATTGAAATGGAGTATTTGCAGGCATTCCATTACCACTTCCACTTCCAAAGTTCCATCGCAGACTCCCCTCATTGAATTTTGGGCCAGGTTTATTTTTGTTTTGCTTTATTTTGAACTCGTAAGGGGCCTGTAGGATCTGCTACAGGTGGGGAGGATACCCCTGGGGTCTGCTCTCGGCAAACCATGTAAGTATGGGATACCCCACTAAGGGTTGTTTGCTCATTTCACACCCAGCCCCTCTGTGCAGCACAGGCTGGGCTCCCTCTGTGTCACCCTGCATATTGTGTATATTTATATTTCCATTCTTTCTCCCATAATTAGAGGGCACACTCCATGAGGGCTAAAATCTGGGCTGTTTTGCTTACTGCTATATCTTGAACTTCTAGAATAGCTCCTTGTATTAACAGAGAGAGGAGTGGAAGAAGAAAGGAGGAGGGAAGGAGGAAGGGAGGAGAAGGGGGAAACTACCCCAATTAGAGCTTTTTTCTCTTGTGATTCTTTGGTCAGGTGAGTCACGGTGAGGCAGGATTCTTAACTTGAGATTGTGGACCCCTAGAGCAGTGGTCCTCAAAGTCTGGTCCTCAGACTATATAACATGGATTTTTTGTTTAAAAATATAAAATCCTAGCCCTCATTCCAGTTTTCTGAACCAAATCTCTAAGAATAGAAATTGTGAACGTTTTCAGTGAGATGATGAAGAAATTCTTTAGTTCTAGAAGTTGATAAACACTGACTTAGGTCTTCCATGTTTAGTCCTCAGGAGAGCTAACAAATCCCCTGCAAATCCAAAAAAAATTTGTTTGTGGATGTAATATAGTTCCTGGGAAGAAGGTCTATAGTTTAAGTCATTGCAAAGGATCTGGGACACAAAACAGGTTAGAGATCATCACTACCCTTAGATGACCTCACCCTCATCATAAGAACATACCTTTTACATCAGGCCTTGATACTATCTTCCAGACCCGTATTATTGCTACACAGCTATCTCTAAGCACTCCAAATCTCAAAATGTATAAACTGAACCCCATTATTTTTCATTTTTCTCCCACCTCAAGCCTACTCTTCTGTACCCATCTAACCCATCGCCCAAGTCAGGAACCATGGCTGTCCCAGACGCCTCCTCCTTCCTCACCTCCTAGTGTGGAAATCAGGCGCCTCTTAGACCTCTTTCAAGTCTCTTTCCCATCTCACAGCTGTGGTCTTATAGCAAACTCTCCTCTTGCCAGAGCTTCCTGATAGGTCTCCTTGATTCCAGTCTGTTTCTTCTAATTTGTCCTCTAATAACATGGCCAACAGTGATCTTCATAAAACACAAAGTTGACCATACCGCACTCTTCTTTTTAACTATACCCTTTAACTGTTCCTCATTCGTTTTAGGATGAAATTCAAACACCTCATCATGGCCAATGACGCTCTCTAATATTTGGCTTCGCCCTGCTTCTCCTGCCTCATTTCCCTCCCACTCCTGTCACTACGCTCTAGTCCACTGGTCTGCGTTCAGCTCCTGGGACACACCAAACGCTTTCCTGCTTCGGAGCCTTGCGTACATGTAGTTCCCTCTACCTTTAACTCTACCTCCTTGCTCTTCACACAAGGCTCCTTCTCAGACTTTAATCCCAGCTTGTGCTCCCTCAACACAGTGGAGTCTCTCCTTGTTTCCGGGCTTCAGCATGTGCTGCTCTCTGAGCCAGAGGAACCGTGCCCTTCACCACGTTATTTCTGATCTAGTTAACTCCTAATTCTCCTATATGACACAACACAATCATCCCTTCCAGGAAGGTTTTCTTGACAAGGTTAGACATTTACCCTTTCTTTACTATACATAGTCAGAGAGAGCCCTCTTTTTTGACTGTGTTAACAGATGAAGCTGTGTTCATGCATAGAAAGTTATATACTTCTAACTGAATTATACAATGCACATAAAGGGGCAAATGGATGACTTGAAAAACTTTATCTCTAATATACAAAGGACACTCTGCCTTCTGTTTTATTAGCTTTAATAGCCAGTACAACTAATAAAGAAAGACTGCTACTGTCATGAAAAAGAGTCTTTTGAATTGTGTGTATATAAGAAGAAAACTTACTATAAATGACTGATCGAAACATTTCCCATACATCATGTACAATGCCCACACATCAACATTTAAACTTTTAACATAATCAAAATCAACGACATATGAATTTTGACTATTCAAGTAATGTTATATCAGAGAGAGAACAAACAGGATAGATTCATATATAAAATTCCATTTTGTAGGGACACACACACACACACGTAGACATTTACTTAGAAAAAAATATTACAATATCAAAATAAATGATATATTTTTCAAATCTTGCAATTTTTTTCAAAATTTTACATGTATAATTATAAAAGTAATATATATTACCTTTTAAGGAAGACAATTTAATTTTGTATAAAAATTTTGAATTTTCTATAAATTGTTCAAACCATATTAATACTAAAATTAATACTCACATCATTTGAATCTCCTGCATCACCTTTTTCACTGTAAAAAATAAGGGGGAAAAGCACATTTTAGCTTCAAAATTAAACAAATAAAATTATTCAATAATCCAAAAATTTAGAATATTTTGCTTGATTAATAGTTTAAAACCTTATTTCAACATAAGGATTTCAGAATGTCATTCTAGGGCAAATGATAACATTCTGAAAAGGAGTTATTTTTATAAATAGAGTAAGAGGCATGTTCCATTAACACATAAATGAAATCAATTGAACTGAAAAAAAATGCAAACAATAACAATGCTATTTTTATGAACAAAAGGCTACAGAAAACAATTTCTTCATTGGCATGATGTACTCAAGCTGAAGAAACCAAATCCTTCAAATCCAAAGATATTAATAAAAGATTGTTTTGAAATAGAATTTTTGAAAGTGAGCTAAGCTCAGTACAATAGTATTCTAGTGCCCCTTCGAGACAATGGCCCAATATATCATGTGCAATTATATGTAACAGTGAGACATCTTCCCTTCTCACAGAGAAGAAAAAAAGATGGTAAGGTGATTTTCTGTTAACTTCTGAAACATGTAAGAAATAATACTCGGTGGATTAGTCCAAACTGTGGCGACTTCTTCATGAAACCCTTCAACTCTGATTTGCTAACCCATGATACCAACGGAGACAAAAATGCTTCAGGGAAAAAGTTAGCAAAGCGAATGTTAATTAAACATTTAACTGTTAAAGCAAACAGTTTCCTAGTATTCAAAGTATCCAAAAATTTAAATTTAACAATCAATTTTAAATATAATTAGATCAACAGAGGTAGATAAGATAGCAAGAAGAATGCAAGTGACTACAGTGGTTCTCTCCATTACACTAGAGGCGCTATTACCTCCATTATCAAAATGGATAATGTTTTGGCTGGGTGGAAAAATGTGACTCAGGAGAACTGACCATTGACTCACAAAAGAAGCAAGAAAATGGTCTGAACCAGAAAATAAGGACTTAGGGTCACACTATCATCATACTAACCTTTCAACAACTGGGACAGAGCTGAGATGCGGATCATCCTTAAGCAAGTCATGACTACTTTTGCTTTTTCCTTTCATGCTCTGGAAGGAAATGCATAATATAATCATGAGTGGGGGCAAGCAGTCTTCCAAAAGGACAAGTTTACAATTTACACAAAATCTACAACAATTATAACGTGGTTAGCAAAAGAAATGTGCTCCTGAAAATTTCAGCATAAACTAAAGCTTTATAAATAAGAATCTTACTCTCCTACTGACTGAAAATATTATTTTAGAAACCCATTTTCTTTCAAAAAGCGATATCCTTAAAAAAAAAGTTCATTGATTACGATTTCCAAACTCTAAATCCTCATTAGGATTTACATACAACTAACCTAATTAATTTTTGACCCATATATAAAAACTTAGAAGAGAAAATCGCAAGAGTAATTTGAAATAAGGGCACACTATTATTCTTCAAATATACTATTTATACTGCACAGAATCACTTTAAAAATGGACCTAAGCAACCAGGCGACTGCACCTATGAGGTGCTACTTAACAAACAGAAAACATATATGTACAAGCCTCCCAAGTATGACAATATTCATCAATGACCAAATATTTATTAAATGCTTTAATTTCAAAGTTCATGTTGTCAATAAATTTATGTTTTAGTAGAGAAACAAGAAGATATGAGAATTACAACTATAAAATAACTACTACTATTATTCTAATTTATTAAGTATATACTATGTGCCAGGTACTGTACTATAATACAGTATTCCTACCCCTCACTTCCTTCCCTCCTCATATTTACAGATGAAAAAGAAAGAAATACGTTAAGTAATTTACTAGAGGTCACAATGCAAGTCAGTGGTAGAGGACGTAGGATTTAATTCTGAGCCTGTCTTAAAATATACCAAAAATCCAAATGTATCCATTTTTCTTTTCCTAGAGGCCCTTATTGACCAGAACACTGGCCTTGTTTCAGATTTACAGACTAACCTACAGACTTCCCCACCATAGGTTGTTAAAACTTCCAATTTATACTTTGTATCTTGAGTGGGGTAAGCTGCTCACCAACTCCACCTGTCAAGCAATCAACGAAGTGTGAACAGTAAGAGGTTGGAGTTGAGAAAGAAAGGATAATTTCTATTTATTTTGAAGACAAATTTTATTTGAAAAATTCATTATAAAATGTGTTAATTGAAATTTTTAAATGTCTGCTACAGAGAGGTGAAAATATCTCTCTTTCTTAAGCCGCATTTACCACTGTTTAACGAATTTGAGAACAGCTTTCTAAATCTGATAGGTTTTACTCTGAGGTAGATGTACACCTTCTGAAATATATTTCCGTGATGAAAATAATAGAGTTTTAAAATATATTAGGTGTCTGTTTTTCCTCCAAGGTTATTGTTATGTGATGGTATAAGTAAGAACCTTAAAATAGGTAATTAATTTTTAATAGGTTATAAAATTAATTTCTGCCATACCATGGAATTCTCCACATTTTAACGATCTAATCAGTTAAAACATGTTTATAGTCTATTTTCACAAGACAAAACAAAAATCCTTTCCCAAGCAGTTAATCTAAAGGTGCTATTTATCTGCAGTTTTAAAAAGTCATAGAATCTGAATTATACAATTAACCTACATTTTAAAATCCATAATCTTACATAAACTAAGAAGTGATGAAAAGGCCAAATCTCAACTAATTATTTGATAACATGTTTGTCCAACAATGAAAGTTGAAAAATAACTGTTTAAAAAACAGAAGATGATTGTTTTTGTTAGTTTAATTAACATTTTTAGAAGTAAGTTCTTGTTTACTCCCTAAAACAGAATAACTTGAAGGAAAAAAAACAACTCGTTTTATACTAATTTAAAATAAGACTTAACCATAGGAGGAAAACTGTGAATTAATCTGAATGATCATTACCATGTCAATTTTTAATTAACTTTTTAAATTAAATTAGCATAGAAATAAATATATGATCAAGAGCAACTTTTTAGATGTTCCTTCCCACTGTAGTAGACTTTGCATCCTGCAGGCAGAAAAAACAAATTGTGGAAAAACTGGAGAAATTCAGAGATAGTCCCAAAGAGAGTAAAAATCAATTCAGATATTTTTCTTTAATGCCTATTCTTTCTGAATGACCTATTTTAAGGTTCTTATTTATACCATCAGGTAACAATAACTTTGGAGGAAAAATAAACACATAATAATATTTTTAAACAATTTTTTTTTAATTACATAAAAGCAGTTAAAGGGTTTAGCTGCTGAACAAAGTTATAAATATATTTGGTGAAGTCACCAAAGGAGCTCCACAGTAAATTCAAAACTGTCTGTAAGCAAATCTAAAAATGAACATCAAAGGGGATATGGGAAAATTACACTATTATCTAGTAATTTATGCCCAAGAACAAAGAGGCAGTAAAACAGTGGGAAC